TTACTGTGGCAAAGCTTCCCCTGGCCCCCAACCCAGAAGGATGCAGAGCCCAATAGAACAGGAATTCTTCTAAGATTTTACCCCCTCCCCCAAAAGCTTCCGCTATGAAACACTAACAAAAGAGGAATTTTTCAAATTTAAAAGGTGAAAGTTTCTGCTTTTTCACTTTATCCTCAACTTTAATCTCATTTCCAAGGGTAACCACTGCCAACATGCAAGCGAGCTGACCTCACCAAGCATATGGAAACAAAACAATAGATAACTTTTCTTTTTCTAATTAAAATGCAATTATTTCCACATTTTTTGGGCGATGGATTTTTAATGAATAAGTATCGCAGATATTCTTCAGGCATAAAGTGTATGAATTTATTTATCTCAAATTTTAAATTGTGCAAAACTAATCTATAGCGACAGGAAGCACCTCAGTCTGCAGTTGCCCAAAGCAGGCATTGGGGGAACTGACTGCAAAGGGGTTTAAAGGTAACTCCCTGAGACCATGACAATGAACTCTATCTTGAAATGTTGCTAGTTTCATGGCATGTCCGTTGTCACACTCACTGAACTGTATACTTCAAATAGGTATATCTTACTGTATGTAAATTATACCCCAATCAGGAAACAAAATACAAATCCTGGGGTCAGACTCCTAGAGATTCTTAACTAATTAGTCGGGCTGTGGTCTAGACTGATTTCTTTTAAAGCTTCCTGGATGATTCTAATGTTTAGCTGAGGATGAGAAACATGGTCCAAGGCAACTGTGCTCAAATTCTGGATAAAGTGGGAAGCATGTATAGTTAGAAAAAGTTCCCACAGAGGACCAGAAATGACCGCTGGCCTCAAACCACATCCTGAGATGCTCATTTTCTCCAGATTTCACCCACTGGGAAAGGAAAATGAATAGTCGTTAACATTCCTTTTCTATTAGGGCACTTAATGTGCTAGACCAGGGGCCAAAATAAAATGTTTAAAAATAAGAATGAATATCCTGTCATGCAATCTTCACAGAAAGCAACCAAATTAGGTGTACTATCCCCACTCACAGATAAGTAATTTCAGAAGTGGAGAAACTAAAAAATTTAACCAACGAAGAAGATCAGACAAGGTCGGATCCCAACCCTCCACCGTTTGACTCTAAAACCAGGCACGAGACCTTTAATCTCATCCCAAGAGTTACCATTATCAACATGCAAGACACCCGACCTTCCCCCAGAATAAGCAAACAAACAACCAAAAAATAGATACGTTTTTCTAATTAAAATGCGATTATTTCCACATATTTTTCAGCAACTTTTAAAAATTTATTATTTAATAGTAATACGGATACTTTTTCTGGCAGAAGTGGTATGAGCTCAACTAGCTGAGATTTTAAACGTGGTAAAACTACTCTGTAGGACCAGAAAGCAGATCATTGGACTCAACTGGATGGCTCTGGACATTGCCTCTCAGCGCTTTGCCTTTCTTTGGAGGTTGGAGTGGGAAGTAGGGGACTGCAATCCGGCTCCCACACTCTCCCTGATCGTGGAATTTGAGGCTCATGGGAGATTTTCTTTCTTCCCTCCAACCTCCCTGAATTCCTAGTTCTTCCAGGGTGTCCACCCTCAGTAATTGTAGACATTATGGGGAGGTGAATCCCGATACCTCCAGCTCTAGCACGAAACACATTCTCCAATGGAATGGGGGTCATGAGCCAACGGGATAGGGTCCCCAAGGTTTGCCAGGGTGTTTACATTTTAATGAAGCAAAAATTCTGTTACTTTTCTTGAGCACTTACTACATGCTAAGCACTCTCTAACTTATTTGTTCTTCACAAAAAGAGTATAAGACAGGCACTACAATGATTCCCATATTGTTGGTGACCTTGAGAGAGTCTAAGCAACATGTACACGCTTAGTCAGCTGGAAAGTGTCAGAGCGAGCGTCGGCCAGGTAGCTTGGTTCCAGAGTTTGTTTCCCTTATTACCTCCCCATTCTCATACCTACTGCTACTTTTCATTTTCATCGTGTACTATTCCTGGTTCACGAAGTCCCTTAAGACATTTTGTGCAGTGCCTTGGGAATCTATTCCTCAGTTATCACGTTCAGACTATGAGGAAACGAGTTTCAGGCACAAAGGGTACTTTGGTTAAACATGCTGTCATTCGATCTCAACTCGTGCCCATTCTCTGTGTGCAAATTAGAACCTTCCAGAGGGGTAGTGGGGAGATGAGTCACTTAGGGTACAGTATAGCAATAATGAAACCCACAACCTTCCTCTGGTTCTTAAACGCTTCCTCCCCGCAACTACCAGGACCCCAATATTGCCTTGCAGACCTGGTTAGACCAGATGATGCACAGCGGGACAGATGGGAATCAGAAACGCAGGGAATCTAGGACAGATGAACCTCTCAGGACCAGGGGTGACAGTGGCGATACCAGGAGGGAAAGGGGATGAAGAAAGGGGGAATGGATCACAGGGAGCTACATATAACCTACTCTCTGGGGGACGGGCAGCAGAAGGGTGGGTGAAGGGAGACGGCGGACAGTGTAATATAAGATACAATAATAATTTATAAATTATTAAGGGTGCATGGGGGAGAGGGGAGGAGGAAGGGAAGGGGAGGGGGGAAAAATGGAAAATGAGCTGATTCCGGGAACACAAGAGGCAAGCGAATTTTGGGAATAATGAGGGCAACAAATGTATAGATGTGTTTTATACAATTGATCTATGTATTGTGATGAATTGTATGAGCCCCAATAAATTGATTAAAAATAAATTTAAAAAAATATCATGGCTCTAAAAAAAGAACTGCTCCATGGGGTTTTCAACGCTGTGGGGTCTTTGGGACGCTAGTGGCAGCCCTGTCTCCCAAGGCACCCTGGGGTCAGTTGAATGACTGACCTTTCAGCTGGAATTTGTAGCATGGTCCTTATGTTTCCCAATTTAAAATGGAAGAACTAATGTTCAGTGGTTGAAAAACGGTGAAGGGATAATGCAGTCATGGAACTAATCTGGTTTTTCTTTTTTGAAGGAATTTTTTAAAATTATTATCTTGGATAAATTATCCTTACTGGGACAATGGTGTGGAGTTGATGCTCAAAAAGCACTGAATGCCAAATAGACTCGAAGTGGTTTAAAATTTCCATTAGTGCTTGAGGAACAAGAAGTTTCTCTTTTTTTAGTAACAATTTAAAACAATTATAAATTAGATGTGGGTTTACATTTCAGAGAATCAATTTTGTATTCAATAGTTTAGAGTACTATCATTTCAAACCCCACAGTAGTTGACCCTTCCCCTGCTCCTTGATTTCTGTTCTTCTTGTGGACGACTAACTTCTTTTACTCCCAAGTTCATGCCCATCAATAACCTAGCTCATTTCTTTTGTGTATGTGTGTGTGTTTCATTGGTGCCCCTAGACACCTTTTATTTTATTTTTATTTTATTTTCTAATCATTTTATTAGGGGCTCACACAACTCCCATCACAATCATGGAATTAACTTGTATGTTAGTTGCATCTCTTTGGTTTATCATTGTGCGACCGTAAACATATCAAGTCCCTCAAATCTTGATTTCCTTCTTTAAAATCAGACAAAGACGCCTTTAAATCAGAAACATGTGACTTTATGCCCTGTACTCTCTTCTGTTGGGCTCTGCTTGCATTCAGAACACTTATGTTTCCACAAACCACTCAGGCAGCCACTGGCAGTTGCTCAGAGATGAACAGTGAGGTGAAACTTATTGTCCACATTAGGAAATATAATCGCTAAGTTTCCAATCTGCTCTAAAGAAGTCAATTTAAGACTACAATAAAAATATCAGCAAGATTTGTACAGTATAGTGTACAGTCTGATTTTCTCTATAAGGTTAAAAGCCCATATGGGTAGTTGGGGAAAGAAGACATTTTCATAACCACAGGCCCCAGAGCAAGGTGAAGAGATTAACCCAACAGGAAATAGACTAGGTAGAAATAGTACAACGTCGTCATATGTGCCACAAACACATATTGCTTTTGAGAGTTTCATTAGCATGTTGTCGCTAGGTGCCATCAACTTGGTTTCGATCAATAGCAACCCTACGCCAAGCACAACACACCGCTGTTCAGAAAGGTGCAATCCACACAATTGTTCTTAAGTTTGAGCCCATTGTTGCACCCACTATGTCAATCCATGTTGTCAAAGGTCGTCCTCTTTTTCAATGCCCCTCTCCTTTGCCAAGCATGACGTCCCTCTCCAAGGACTGTTTGCTCCGAACAGTATGTCCAAAGTACTTGAACCAAAGACATGCCATCCTTGTCTCTAAGACAATTTGTTTGCTCTTTTCACAGTCCGTGGTACTTTCAATATTATTAGCCAGTGTCATCAATCAAATGGATCCATTCTTCTTTGGATGGTCAACTTACTGCATATCCTTCTTCTTCAATATCCTACTTTCACGTGAGGCAATGGAAAATGCCACGGCTTGGGTCAGGCGCACCTTTGTCCTCAAAGTAACATCTTTGTTTTTCAATACTCTAAAGCGGTCTTCGGAAAAAGAGCGGGTTTTCTACTCCCATAAAGAGTTACAGTCTCAGAAACTCACAGGGGCAGTTCCTTGCTAAGAGTTGTAATCAATTCCATGACAGAGGGTTTTTGAGACTTTTTTATTAAGTGTAAAGTTTCTGAATCTCTTCTGACATCCACTTTTGATCTGTTCTTTCTTTCTTTCTTTCTTTCTTTTCTTTTCTTCTTTTTATGGGGGTGGGTGGGGATCAAAAAGGAGATTCAATGATAAGTTGTTAACTCTAGCATCCATCATTTACTTTACAATGTCCTCTGTCTGATAGCAAGGTTATTCACATCGCTGGGCTATGATCAGAGGGGTTCAATAGAGGCTTAATCCATGTGGGGACCCTGCAAATGGATTTTTAGCTTCCACTGCCATCCATAACCTTCTGTAAACTGGAGATTCAGAATTTAAACTCTAATACTGTTCCCTCCAGATTTGGATTTCATTATTCACAATCCTTGGATCACACAGGTTGGTGTGGTTCTTCCACACAGACTTAGTTAATACCTCACTTAGATTGGCTGCTTGTTGGAAGACAAGACTTTAAGACCTCAAACAATATTTTTGCCGATAGCCATGCACCATTTGATTTCTGCACCAAAGCACTTAGCTACAGCACCATGTCTTCAGTAATTTCTTTGTGTGCGCAAATCCCGAGTTGGGCCATATTATAAAAACAAATTGTTGTTAGGTTAGGGTTATGATGAAATGGAAGCCCAAACCCATTCATATATTTAAGGTTTATATGTCTCTTGCTCATGTTAGAATTATCATTCTATAATAGTGAACATTATAAATTATCCTCATAGAGCAAAAGGTGATCTTATTAATAGTATCATCAATATAGCCATTGGTATAGATTTTAAGACATTGTTGAGAGAAATAAATTATCTATGTATAAGCTGACTTTTCAGACAGCAATACATGAATTATTGGTCTGTACAGATTAAAAGCTTAAGTGACTGGGCACTATTTACATGAACTGTGAGTGTTGGGGACAGGGCAAAACTTTCAATAACACCAATTCACAAATTCAGAACCAGGCCTGGCAGACTAAGTTGTGTTATCAAAAAAACAGAAGAGCATTAAAATAGTAAATATATGATAGACCTGAGACCAGTGGTTCTCAACCTTCCTGATGTTGCAACACTTTAATACTGTTCCTCATGTTGTGACCCCCCCAACCATAAAATTATTTTCGTTGCTACTTCATAACTTTAATTTTGCTACTGTTATGGGTGACCCCTGTGAAAGGGACGTTCCACCCCCAAAGGGGTTGCGACTCATAGGTTGAGAACCATTCTTCGGGACCATCCATTAGGCAACCTCAAAGTCCAATGACCACCGATTATAAAAGACGTAGTCTTTTGCAAAAAAGAAGACTATAATTTAATTCCTAAAATATAAAATTGTCATACTAATACCAAGGCATGTGCATACCTTGTTATAGCAATTCTGTATTTTTAGACAATAATGAAAATACTGGTTGACCTCATGTACCAAGAATTTAAAAAAAACAGTCTCCAACTTGTCTCCAACTTGTCAAATAACTTTTCCTTTTGGGTAAGAGGAAACTGACTTGAGTTGGCAGATGGAATCCACCAACCGGCCCATGGGAGAAAGCTGGGCCATCTGTAGCTATAGGGATTCTCCGTCTGGGACACAGTGAGGGCAGTTCTACCCAGTCTTGTCGGGTTGCTATGAGTTGGAATTGACTTGACAGCAGTGTTTTGGATTTGGTTTAGATGATAAACTTCCATCCATTTGCTGTTTGTTGCACTCTGGTGGTTTATGTGTTACTGTAATGTTGGAAGTTATGCCAACGATCATTCATATGCCGTCAAGATGCCCTGTGGCAGACGGCATCCAGTGGAGCTCCAAAACTCACATGGGCTATGAAAAAAGGCTTGGCATCTACTTCTACAAGTTAGCCGTGAGGACCCTGTGGATCACAACAAAGTACTGCCCTTATACACTGCTGGGGAAAGAGCCCCGTGGGCTGTAAGGCACTCAAAATACACAGTGAAATGCACAGTCATGAACTCAAGCATGAAGATGGCACCGAACTGGGGAAGGTTTCGTTCTGTTATACATGGGGTCGCTGTGTCACGATGAAGCAGGCCTGACCCGGTCTCAGACAACAGCAATACAGTAAGTTAACCAGGAGCATTTGGCACCAAGTCTACTAACCAGGGCACGGCTTTTATACACACGCGCATGTCTTGGAAGGCTGTTCCTAGAGATTGGTAGTGGGGGTTGTGATAACTAAAACCTTCATTTAGACCCCTGGCTTAGTAGTTGTAAAGCAGATTCTTATGTACGGGACATACAGCATCATAACTAGGTGCTCCTAGTGGTTTCCATTTAAGGCATTACTCACATTACAAAAGGCTTACAACCGAACACACCAGGACTAGAATATAAACTGGGGCTTCCGTCAGAGATCGACGTGGAGAAGAGGAAGACTTCCTGGCAACAAGGGTATCAAGGGCTGGTGCAGTTGCGTAGCCATTTCGATATTTGAATAGAGATACGCAAAGTATACCTTAAGGAAATTGTATAAAGCTTCTCCAATGGTTGATGTTGGTACTCTTCCAAACAGAGTAATAGCCATTTTTTTCTCAATCCAGTTCAGTTTTGAGACCTGAAAATAAAAAGCAACATAATCCTTAAAAGCTTGGTGATATTTGACTGAAATATATGTATATATATATATTTAAAACTGTATGAAAGAGCTTCAAAATGCTCATGTGAAAATGCCACTATCTTTTACTTCCATATTTCTATGAACTTTTGAAGCCCCCTCAAATGTACAGGAGAGCAAGTTGAAAAGTATTGTTATTAGAGCTCCACTTCATATAAGCAATGGTTTATTACAAAGAACACGAGTTTAAACATGTGTCTCTGATCAGCGGATGGCTGCAGACAAGTTAGCTCAGTTGCATGTCTATTTCAGTGTTCTTAGGGTGTCTTTAAAAAAAAGGTCCAATCAGAAGAACGGCTTCCAAAGGGACCTGCTGGGTCAGTTCAACTTAAGGCAGAGGTCAGCTCAGAAAATGACGGTGGCTGTTTGCTGTGGCTTCTCAAGAGGTGATATGGATACATTTTCTCAAAGGGCAAAACACTCTTCATGTAACCATGGGGTGAGCCTTTTCTTTTGAAAAAGATGCCTGTCCTTATCACGTAGAACAAATACTGGACTGCTATATGCCTGGAAGAGCTGTTTTATGTGACTGTAAAAAGAAATGTGAAAATAAACTTCCTTCTGAAGGTGTGAAAATTACAGAATGAATTTAAACATCCTCAGCCTATGTAACTTGGCTATATATTAAGGTGATTATCCTTGCTCAATTACATACTTTCTCATAGCTAAAGGAATTAAAATTGCCAGTTGTGTGGAATTATACTTGTTTTATTAAACATAGTAATAATCAAAATATTACTAATCAGAAACTTTAAAGTTATAGTTGGACTTGCATTGATGTACCCCTGAGGAGCCCTGCTGGTGTAATGGTTACAAGTTGGGCTGTGATTCCCATGATCGGCAGTTCAAAACTACCAGCAGCTCCGCAGGAGAAAGACTGGGCTTTCTACTCCTGTGAACAGTTAGACTCAGACACCCACAGGGGGTTGCTCTGAGTCTGCCTTGATGGCAGCCAGTGCCCCGTTTCAGCTAATCCTTTCTTCTATCTTATTATTTCCTTTGGGATCATTTTTTCTCTGAACTGCCCCTCCTCGTGATAGTTCCTTTACTGAGAGTCTGTCAACTGTCTATTCCATCTTGATCACACTTTTAAAAGATCATTTCGCTAGATATAAAATTCTATATTCTTACAACTACTTTCCCCAGTACTGGGAAGACAGAATTCCTCAAGGCTTCTGTTGTTGCCAGGGAGAGATCAGCTTGCAGTCTCATTTTTGTTACTGCATAGGTATTGTTTTCCTCTAATTGCTATTAATATTTTGTCTTTGCACTCTGCATTTTCACTTGGAGGTGGCTGGGTATGGCCTAACTAGATATTTAGGTTCATGGGATTGATTTTATTTACAGCACAGCTGCTAGGAAACAAGACACACTGAGTGGAAGTAGCCATCTGGCTCAGAAACTCAATATCACTTTAAATGTGTCACATCATCACAGTATGTTCACGTAAGGTTGATAAAGGCATTCAGCTTACAGTATAGCAGTATCTTCCTTTGAGGTAATACAAATGAGGTTCTTCAGGTAGTAATTGGATTGCTTTTTCAAGATGTTCCTGGAAAAAAATGTCCAAAGGAAATGACATCTTCCAAGTTCCAGATGTTGCTGAATGTACACACCCAAACCCCATAAGCTCTCAGTGGGCTTTCCGATGTTGTCTCCTTTCCTCCTTTAATCTCTACCACGTTAAAATTAATTCATATCAATCATTCAATTATCAAAAAGGACTGCATGCAGCCAGAGCTAGAGCTACGACTTAATACGGTTATATATAATTTAAAGTCAAAATGTCACTCTAACAATAGGAAACATGCAAGTCAAAATGTGTCTACCTACAATTAACCTAGCTCAGTAATTCAGAGGTGCACTTACAGCTACCAGGTGACGTGCAATAGGATGTGATGCAGGAGGAAGATCAAGGGGAGAGGAATCCAATCCCCTGGCATTGTCAAGATGGTCAAAGGAATTTGGAAAGCGAGGAAGAATTGTTTGCCTTTCAGAGAGTTAGTGACACTGAGAGGGTCTTTTTTAGCTGTTCTAAATAGAGACAGATTATAAATGATGTGCATGTGGATTGCTTAGTCCATTCATCTCTCACGGTAGATTAATTGTTAGCTTGGCTCCTACTTTCCCGCACCAAGTCGTTAAGCAGAGAGTGTTCACTAGTGACTCACACTCGTGTTTATCATTTATGGTGTTGGTGAGTTCATGACCAGAAGACTGAAGTTCTAATTCTCTAGCTTTGAAAATTGAAACTCATCTACTACGGGGCTTCCTTCAGGCTAGAAAAAGTTCATCTTTAAGGGTCCAAATTGATTCTTTTTGTCAAAGGCTGAATTTTATTTTTTCATTGTTTAAATGGAAAAGTCGAATCCCTATAGTTCAATGTATTGAATAATTAAGACTTACATCTGTTAATGAAGCATATAGCTATAATACGGCATTTCAACATCAAAATATACCTTAAAGCGATGGCCGTAGTTGACTTTGTTTTGTAGACCCTCAAACTCGGATACATAGCCGCACAAAATTGCAAGCCTGGAAAGGACAGACACAGCAGATAGTGCACACTTTTTAACCACACCGTACCGAGGACACATTTAAAATTCTCTACAGCACAGCTTCTTAAACTCAGGTTCAGGGCCCTTGTAACTGAACATGGGGGAGGGGGTCTTGAAGAACTTGTCAGCAGTAAAAGGCTTCGGAATGGGCAACAACCAAAAATGAAGTCAAAATGAAAGGCATATGAATCCAAGGTGTTCCTGGCAGCGCACGACGGTTTCAAATTCTTGGTGAGAGGGGTCGAGAGTGGAAAAAAGTTTAAGCAGCTTTGCTAAAGCATCCATTAGTCTTTAGCAAAAGTACTTAGAGTATCAGTGTCCTAAACACAGCTGGGATTTGACATCAACTTGAGGCCAGAGTTCTTACAATAACCAGGGATACGAAAACCTCCTATTGCATGTCTGTTGTGAGAGTAAATGAGCTGACACACATCAGGTGAGGAGACCAGTGCCGAGCGAGTTTCAATAAAGGTGAGCAGTCACCCTCAGCATCAGCATGAACATCAGTCACAAAGAAGCTCTGGGCAGAAGGCGGGAAACCACGTCACCTAAGCATGCAATTGGAAAACGTTCTGTAGCTATGGATTTATAAATCTTAAAATGTTAAAGATTCCCAACCTTTAAAAATATTCCCCTTTAATAAAAAAGTAAAAATCCATGCTCAATTTTACTATCATTTGAAAACTAAAACCAGTACCATGACTAAACAAAATGTCCAAGCAATTTTTTTTCTTTTCAAAAACCTCACTGTCTTCCTCACCCCTTCATGAAATTGCTGCAATACTTAAGTGGACCATCCTAGACTATTTAACTTTTTTTCCTCTCTGGGAATGCAAATTTTACATATAATTATTTGACTATAATGTGGGTATAATATTCATTCAGTAATTAGCTTATTTACTCTAAAATTGGGAATGTTACTTTTCTCATGCAAACTGTTTCTGTCTGTGCAAATGGCTTATGAATAACGCAGCGTTTCTTTCTTTTTGAGGCAAAATAGCCACTAGGTTAATATTCAAAATGTGTCATTTTTACTTGCATTCTCAAAATAACTGCGATAAAATGTAATGTTGGATGTTATTTTTCTTGATCATTTCTGTGGATAAGCATAACTTCTAAGTACACAAATGAAATAAGCAGTTTTCTTATTTAGCAGCAATGCCATTTCTGGACACACACTCACCACATTCAAACTCACTGCTATCGAGTCCATGTTGACTCAGTGACCTTCTAGGGCAGGACAGAACTGACCCTATGGGTTTCTGAGACTGTAACTCTTTTGAGCCAGTTATCAGAGAAGATCAATTGTTCGAGCCTACCCCAATATTCTGGCCTCTATAGCCCACTGGCCTCTTGATAGCTTGCTATGTCAAGCTGTCCTAGAAATTTCCAGCCTAAGTTTGTAGCCTTCAGATAACTCTCTACCGCCACCCTGTTCCAAGATGTTATTGTAAATCTCATTCCTAGTGGCTATGGATGTGCCCCACCCTGATCCAGGATGTTACTGTGGAGACTAATACTTCTTTCAGCTTTTGCAATCATCTAGGTGAACCCGAGTGGAAACACGGAAGGCAGCTGGAGTCTTGTACTTTGCAGTTTGAAAAGTAGGATAGGGTTTTTGCCTTTATATACCCTAACTGCTTGCTATTCAGGGCTGCGAGGTTTTAAGACATGCTTAAAAATAGTCTCCTAATTTGAATTTATTCTCTTGTGGCATATAACACAGTTCTATAAAAGGGCATCTTGTTTGGTAGAGAAGACCGCCAATGAAAATGGGGGACCCCCTCACCGAGACAGATTGACATGTAGTTGCAATTATAGGCTCAAATGCAGTAGTAATCATGAAGATAGAATATGTCTGGGAATATTTCTTGCTGATATATATATATATACATATATATATGAATGTCACTGTGTTGGAATGAATTGTCTCTCAAAATCCGTGTTGTAAAGCCTAACCTTTATGTGGTTACCATCTCACTTGGGAGTGCGTTTGTATTTGTTATACTAATGAGGTGTGATCAGTGCAGACCGTTTCTTGAATCAATCTCTTTGGGGAATAAAGAAAGATGTAGGCGGAGATGGGCTAAAACAGATACTGAGACTCTGGAGATGGCTAAGGAATCAAGAAGTAGAAGCTAAGGAGAATGGAAACTCCTCCAGAGCCAACAGATGATGAAAGGAGACAAGGACCTTCCCCAGAGCTAAAAGACTTACCCTAGAGCTAGTGCGCTGAACTTGGACTTAACAACTGTCAAAGTCCTTCATGGTGATAGTTCTGTTTCAGCAGCACTAGATAACTAGAACTGCCACCAGGATTGGGAATTGTCTCAATGACAACTAAACAACAACACTAACAATTTCACTCAACTTCTTAAACCAGATCGACTTTCACATTTGTTTCCACACCCACTGCTAGTCCATCCAGCGGTTGAGCACCTCCGAAAATCAGATATTGGGAAAACAGGCACTGTCCCCCAAGAGTGCCAGATTTTGGAAGCAAGTACAGTGCTCCCCAGACCTCTAACAACCACACCCGGTCCTCATTTTTATTCTGAGCGCGATCATTTTCCGACCTCTTCAGATTTCAAACCTTAGGCTAATTACTAAATGAACTTTTAATTTTCAAATAGCTTTAGATTTACAGAAAAGTTGCAAAGATTGTACAGAGAATTCTGTTCCCTTTACTGCTGTACTTCCATTCATTTCCCCTTACTGTTAACATCTACTATTACAATAGGTCATTTACAATTGAACCAACTTCGCTGCACCAAACCCTCACCCAGCGCCACGGAGGGGACTTCTACCCATAGGAACCCTGTGTAGGATTTTGGGGGCTATAAATATTTACCAGAGATGAAAACCACATCTCCCTCAAAACAACTAGTAGCCAATGCTTATACAGGATCTTTTTCGGGTTTTTAATTCTTTGGGAAGTCTGTAACTCTTAGACTGGAGGGTTCTTGCGCATCTTTCGGGTTAGTGCGGATAATTCCAATGGGCCAGGCGCCAGCTTTGGCGAGCTGACGTCACTTAATCAGGTGGGAAGATGGGCAGAGTAAGCCTGGTAAATGGAAGAAATGTTGGCTGCTGTCCTTGGTAACAACGCTGTCACTGGACCCTTAACCAAGCGTGTGAAAATTAACAATATTGGTGCTATCACTCACAAGTAAAATTTTGCTTAAGATAATCAAAGAACAGTGAATCATTAGAGTGTGCCAGAATTAACAATATTGGTGCTATCACTCACAAGTAAAATTTTGCTTAAGATAATCAAAGAACAGTGAATCATTAGAGTGTGGCAGAAAGAAGCTGGATTCGGAAGAGAATGTGGAATGGGGGCTGTCATTGTGGATGGATCTCGTTGGAAAGGAAAGAACACCAGAAAGATATTTAACTTGAGCTTTACTGACTGTGCCAAGTCATTCAACTGGGTGCATCATAACAAATGATGTATAACAATGTAAAGAATGGGCATTCCAGACCACTAAATTGTGCCAATGGGCTCAAGTCCTGGAACAATTGTGAGGATGGCACAGGACCAGGCAGTGTTGTGCAGAAGGTCACTGTGGGTCAAAACTGCCTCAAACTTAACAAAAAGAGCAAATCGTGCTTATGTAGAACCTGTACCTAGACTAAGAGACAGCGTTCACACAGAACGAAAGGGTTACTGAATGATTTGCAATCAAGAAAGGTGTACATTAGGCTTGAATTCTTTCACCATACTTACTTAATTTGTATGTTGAAGAACACAGGATCAGAATTGGAGGAAGCCTCATTAACACCTCAAGATATGTAATTGATACCAACTTGCTTGCTGATAAAGATCAAAGATTACAGTCTACAACTTAAAGGAAACAAACATCCTCACAACTGGACCAATAAACATCATGACAAATGGAGAAAAGATGGAAGCCCTCAATGATTTCATTTTAGTTAGATTCACAATTAGCTCTCCTGGAAGTAACTGCCAAATCAAGTATGTGCTGCACTGGGCAAATCTGCTGCGAAAGACCTCTTTAAAGTGTTAAAGAGCAAAGGTGCCACTTGGACGACTAAGGTGGGTCTGACCCAAGTCATGGCATTTAAACATTTTTTTCATTAATCATTTTATTGGGGGGCTCATACAAATCTTATGGAAATCCATCATTTAATTGTATTAAGTACATTTGTACCTATGTTGCCATCAACACTTCCAAAACATTTTCTTTCTACTTGACCTTTTGGTGTCAGCTCCCCTTCCACCCCCTCCCTCTCTCACCCTCGTGAATCCGTGATCAAATATGTATTATGGTTGTTATTTCATGTCTTACACTATCTGTTGTCTCCCTTCACCCACCTTTCTGTTATTCGTCCCCCTGGGGGGCGGGCTATATGTAAATCCAACCATGTGATGGGTTCCCCCTTTCTCCCCTTTCTGCCCCCACCCACCGCCCCCACCATCCCCCTATGATATCACTACTCCCAGTACTGTTCTGAGGGTTTTATCTGTCCTGAATTCCGTGTGGCCAGGGCATTTTTAACCACCAAATATGTGGCAACTGGGCAATGCATGAAGAAGACTAGAGAAGAACAGATGCGTTTGGATGGTGGTGCTGGAGGAGAAGACTGGCTGTACCAAGGCCTGCAGAAGGAACACATCTGTCCTGGAAGAAGCTGAGCCTGTTTACTCCTGGGAAGACAGGATGAAAAGACTTCCTCTCTCATACTTTGGACATTTCAACGAGAGTCCAGTCCCTGGAGAAGGACATAAGGCTCAGTTAAGTGGAGAGTAGGTGAAAAAGATGGATCGATCACCAATGTGATGGATCGACATTTGATACCACAATGAGCCCCATCATGAAAACAATTGCGTGTGGAGCAAACGCAGCCCTTCATTCTGTTGTTCACAGGGCCTTTAGGAGCGGGAACTGAATGGTGGCAGCGAACAGTAGCAATGACATTGTGAAACAAGTGAACTGACAAATGACCCGGTCA